CTAGTCTTCAAACTTTATACTAATGGTTTATTTGACTTTTGTATTGCACGTTTGTGTCAGAAACGTGTTATTTATTTTATGGCTAAATGGGAAAGAAAGAATTCACTTTCCTTCGTTTAAAAAAAATTGCATCACTTGCGTCACATGAAATGATTGATGATGAAGACGTGATTGAGACAATTGGAAAAGTACGCATGGATTAGTGAAAAAGTTTTAAGTGTAATTACTTAAGTGTAATAACTTAAGTTATTCGTTGAATAATGCGATAACGTTTAGCACTTTCCAAAATCTTTCAATAAGTTTTCAAAAGAAGAAAAATATATATTTTTGGAGTGTGGCATGCGGTTCTACGTTTCTTATTTCTTATATGCTGGTATGCTAAAATTAAGATTTAAATTTTCAGTACTAGTGAGTACCGACTTAAAGGTACATTTTAAATGCGCAAAAATGCAACCCTATTAATTAGAAAGATTCTTATCAAAACAAGTGTAGGTTGAATGTCAAAATAAATTTAAGTAATTTTCCACAAAAAAAAATTGTTACGGCTTCTGTTTCTTTCACTAATCGTAAAAACGACCAAATGTATATGAAATAAGGCATAACCAAGCCAAATAGTGTCGTGCATAAAAATCGACTAAAGTGACGGCGCAAATTCCAGCATTTGTATTTCATCATACCCTCGGGCTTTTCGTGCCGGCTCATCAATGAATTCTTGTACCTAATAGCAAACAAACGAGCGCCTAAAATTCATAATGAGCATAGAAGTATCTACGAAAAAAACGCGCTTGTTACTGGAAGATCCCAGATTTCGCATACGCCCTTTGCAGCAAGTAGTGTCTGCCTGTACGGGGGCGCTAATAACAGCATGTTTCAGTGAGTACAAATAGTTGCCGTTTCCAAACAAAAATAAAAGTATCTTGTTTTTTTTTTTTATCTATGCAGTGACACCGTTGGATGTTGTTAAGACCCGTCTACAAGCGCAACAAACCACCACAAACAAATGTTTCTTATATTGCAACGGCCTTATGGATCATCTGTGCCCATGCGATCCTAACATGCCCACACACCTAAAGCCGGAGAAGCGTTTAAATGGCACTATTGTACGTAATATATGCATAAATAATTTCTTTGAAATCAACAGTTTGCTCATAGGATGCTTTTGTGAAAATTGCACGCCACGAAGGCGTTGGTTCTCTTTGGTCCGGACTAAGTCCCACACTTGTATCTGCTCTGCCATCGACAATAGTTTATTTTGTCGCCTACGAACAATTCAAAATGCGGGCTTTGGAGCTGCACTACAAGTATCTGGCGGAAGTGAAGGGCTCGCCACGTGGCCGTGAGATACCTTTCCACATACCATTGCTCAGTGGAGTATCGGCGCGCATATGTGCGGTCACCTTTGTTAGCCCTATTGAGTTGATTCGTACAAAAATGCAGTCACAGAAAATGAGCTACCATGAAATGATATCCACTGTGCGAATGGTAATGAAAACGCAGGGTTTCTTCGGTTTGTTTCGTGGCTTACCACCAACGATTCTTCGTGACGTGCCCTTCTCCGGCATATACTGGACCTGCTATGAGAATATAAAAAGCTTTTTTGGTGTAGAAGAACCAACGTTTGGATTCAGCTTTATGGCTGGCGCAGTTTCTGGCTCGGTAAGTGCAAAAAAAGCAAGGTGAAATGTGAAAATTATCATGCATTACCAAACACAATGCAATCAACTTTTAACAAAACAGTGTTAATGAAGACTCGGGAAAAACACATATCAATAGTTTGTTAAAGATCAGTATTTATCATATATCTTATCTTATCTGTTTTGATATGCGCATTGTAAACTTACAGTTAGCAGCCACCATTACAACACCTTTCGATGTTGTGAAAACGCATGAACAAATTGAATTTGGAGAAAAGGTGCTTTTTGCAGGTAAGCACTTGTGCCGCTTATCAATACTTATAATACCCCTTCAACTTTCTAATTAATTTTAGACAAACCGCCGGCCAACGTTTCCAATTTAAATATACGACAACGGCTTTGGTCTATTTATCGCATGAATGGAATACGCGGTCTATTTGCCGGCCTGGGTCCACGATTGCTAAAAGTGGCGCCAGCATGTGCCATAATGATTTCCACGTTTGAACACAGCAAAGCATTTTTCTATCACTATAACATAGAAAAACACAATGAGGCTATATTAATGGCAAACCAAAGAGTAAAAGGTGTTTGATAGTTAGCGTGATATTATGCCTAAGTTCCTACGAACGCAGAGGCAAGGGCTCGTGGGAAAAAGGGGTTTACCTACATATAATAGAGTATTAATATATGCTGGGGTTTAAAACAGACCTTTGTGTTTAGCTTATAAATTTTACTGTTTATGTTGACCGNGCTTTTATGCAACCCTGAATAGTAAATGGAAGTTGTGTGTGACAGTGGAGTCTATTTGTTTATTTGTGGAATGCAAAAGTGTCAAACTGAATCAAAATAAAAACACGTGTGATCAACAGTGCAGCATTCAAACCAAGAAAGTGTATTTTATAAATAATTAATTGATTAACACAATGTCCGAAGATAAGCCTGAAGCCGCAAAAGAAGAATTAACGCAATCTTCGGTGGAAAACGATGAGCTTAAAGAAAATTCGGCAGCAAACGATGCCGATACAACAAAACCAGAAACATCTGTTACCACAAAAAAACCAGCGGCAAAAACACAAAAAGGCAGAAGAAAGCCTGCAGAGGGTAATCCTGTACGCGGCTTGCCTAAGTCTGGTCGCCCATGGAAAACCCCGAAGCAAAAGTATTATTCCACGGCACACTATATGTATGTACATTCATATTGAATTAACACGTCTTCATTCTAGGTTTAGTACAATAAAAAAGTCTAAACACCGTTTACCATTCGAAAAGAAAATGGAGCTGCGTAATGAACTGCGAAACATTAAGGAAAGATCACGAGAAATCAAAGAGCAACGCAAGGAAGCGGCTGTACAAAAGAATCAGAGGCGCATTGAAAATGCGGAGCGTCGTTTAGCAAATGAGCGTCGCTCAGAAATTGTCCAGATAATCAAGAACCCGGCGAAATTGAGGCGCATGAAGAAGAAGCAAATGCGAATGATTGAAAAGAGGGACATAAGTCAAGTGAAAGTGGTTTAATTGGGACATCGCAGAGCAGGGCTAGTTTAAGTTTTGTAGTTACTTCCTTTTTCTTAATTAAAAATTGGTGTGTACCAGGATCAGTAAGCCATGTGAATAATGTTTTTGAAATTGCATACTTTTAGGCACTAACTGAATTGTTGCTCCTGAATAGAAAATTAAAAATAAAGATGTGGTTAGAAGATATTAATAATTTACTTTGGTGTATTGAGCTACGTACAAACGAGGAGCATTATGTGTGGCATTTGTGATCTATTTACATAGGTTATTTGTTTTAGACATATAAATAGCTTTGCAAATGAAATTTTAACTTGCAGTCACTCGCAAAAGTATTCGTAATTTAGTTTTCTTCACAATATTCCAAATGTTTTCCATTATAAATCTTTTTCGCTTATTTTCATTTAAAATATAGCTCATTCTATAACAAAAACCATATACATAAATGATTCTCACAAACTGTACAAAATTCATAAAAATTAATCACACTTGAAAAAATTTTCATCAAAATTTCAAAATTTTTATTCAGAATTTTTAGAAACATTTTGGGTATGCAGTTTTGTAGCCCATTCAATTTTAGTACAATAAAGTGCAAGTTTCAAGTAGCTAAAAAGTACCGCTGATTTTTTAGAATTTTTTTGTCGAGGGTGTTGCGCATTTGTTTCCATATAAGGCATGAGCAAAATCTATTTTTATTACCTTCCTTTTATTAGCTCGGGATGTACATAACTATGTAATATTGATGCGCCTAAAAGATGCAGCGATTTCTATTCTCAAGTTACATACCTGATCACAGTACGAATGACAATTATAATAGGGAGGTTTTAGTTTTTAAACTATAATTTTATTATATGGAAGAAAATGCGCAACACCCTCGACAAAAAAACTTCTACAAAATCCGAAGCAATTTTTAGACGCTTGAATCTTGTACTTCTAAAATTGAACGGGCTACAAAATTGCATACCGAAAATTTTTCGAAAGATTCTGAATAAAAAGTTTGAAATTTTTATGAAAATTGTATTGAGTTGATTCATTTCTATGAATATTGTACACAGTTTGCAGGAATGATTTACATATATGGTTTTTGAGCTATATTGTCNCACCACCAGGATTGTGGGCATCTGCAGCAGTTCACCAGACTAATAATAATAGCGCAGGTCTAATAAATCACGGCGACCTATGCCAACACTATCCTCATACCACTTGCCCATGATCATATCGATCAACTAGCCCACCGACTTTGCTCCCACGGACCACCGAACCTATATTAACTTTAACAAAGCTGATTTGAACGGCTTCGCGGAAGTTGCCGAAAGCAGCATCGCCGGTCTTCCCACAATCACAGACATACACCCTGGCGAGCGCCAGTTCCGAAAGATGGTCATTGTCGCATCGGCACGATTCATCGCGGAAATCCGCCCAAATTTCCCGGCAGAAACAGCTGATCTAGCTAATGAGCGTAACCACCTATGCCAGGTCGATCCCGGGGAGCCTCGCCTTAAGGATCTTAACTGGAGATACGGCGACTGGTAAATCAGGATAAGCGGAAAAAGTGAGAGGAGCACTTGAAGACCTGCAACTTCGCCTTTCGTATGAGTAATCTCTGGCCAACCATGAGTGGAAATTTCTTTCGATGGTC